CTGCTGGTTCCGTTCCATCCACAGCTCTGTCATCTTCAGCAGGAGCGGATCTTGGTCTCTTCTTTGGGCGTAAACACCAACTTTGGGAGATACTGCTTCTCTGGATTAGGTATATTCCTCCCTTTTGCTTTTTGGTTCAGATCTGGTTCGATTATGGTTCRAGKAARATCYTTGAATATAGTATTCTAARTTTAGGGAATATGATTCCYAGTTGRGAGAAGGTAGGAAAATTTTTGAAATTCGCCCACCCATTCCGCAACCTTTTGGCGTCCATTAGATGGATCCTACCATTCTTTCATAATAAATGCATATGAATACAAAATATTAAATTTATCAATTATAAACTTTATATAACAACATATAATATCTAAATGTATACATATATTTGAAGTATATGTATAATAAATGTATATGAATGCAAGTCCTAACATCTAAATCCAGGATAATCAGATTCAATGTTGAATCAAGTATTGCGATTTTAGAGTCCATTGACAACCATACCCAGCAAGGCCCAAGCTAAGAAACCCCTAAGCTCCACCTAGAAGTTATATACATATATGGTAAATATTATTATATAATATTTAGATAATAAATTTTATACTAATATATGAATAAATTTTTATATATTCTTTATAATAAATTAAAATTAAATAAAAAATTTAATTTGTAAAAAAATCATAGTTTTATATTTAACACGGGCAAGTATGTCCTTGTCCTAGGCCCAAACAAATACTATTTGTTTATTTTGGTAACTTCAATGTCTTTGTTATTAAAAAGCTAACGCAAAGGAGGTATTTGCACATTTTTTCAAAAATATAGGGGAGGTTTTTGTTAGGATCAAAACTTAAAGGTGGTTTGTAGAATTGTTATAAGAGATCTTTTTTTTTTAATTTTACCTAACAAATAATATGAATATAATAACAAACCAATAAATTTTAAAATTAATAAAAAATAGGATTAAGATACAAAAAGATAATACAAATTTGTCTTGAGCATAAGAAATTGGCCCCTCTCACTAAGTGCAACTTGGATTGTGATTTTATAAATTAGACATAATCAAAAAATAATGCTTGAATTGGATTTAGATGGCCACTACTTAATTGAAAATGTCATGAAGCTCCATTCTCAATTTTCTTAATAAAGCCCATTCATCACACAGGTTCCGACTAGTAAACTCTTACATTGAGTTCAAGTATTTTATGATCTTTGTACACAATATTTCAAGAATGAAATGAATATAATTAATAAAAAAACATCAGTGTAATTTTCTGTCTCATCTGTTCTCTTCTGAAATTAAAAATCATTTTGGTGTATCCATTAAAATTATACATTCTGATAATACCAAAAACAATATGCATTTACTTCAGATTTATTTCAATCAGTATGATTTTTTAATAGGCAAATCAAAATATATTTGAATCAATATAAAAAGAGGGTGATATTCACAGATGAGATGCTTACAAAAAAAAGTATCTTTAAGTTATAACCTGTACATAATATCTGCAAAAAAATTAGCAACCCCCATATACAATGCTACCCCAATGATTTATAAAGATACAGTCCTTAATGCCTCCAGAAATCATTAACACCCACCCATCTCCAAAGATTCCATTCTATTTTACCTATAATCTGATTAGATTAAGAGTCATTGGCTTCAAAAACCCTACTGCTCCTCTCCGTCCAAACAGCCCAATACAGAGCAAAAGGTAAAAGATTCCACAAGATTTTACAATCAGAATGATATTTTGCGAAACAAAATCTAGAATCCCGCCCATTATCTTTTTTACTATTCTTCTATTAGTTTGTTATTTTCTTCTAGTTTCTTAATGCTGAAATCTTCTGTTCAACAGATGTTTGGTGGACTGTATCTATGAGCCACTTAGGGACCTTGTATAGATTTTTTTACTGGGGTAAGGTTTTTATGTCCCCCCTCCTAGGATTTCTTTCATGAGATTTTAATAAAATTTTACGGTGGACACCCCTCTACCATGGATGTTTGGGGTTTAAAAAAAAAAAAAAAAAACCTTCTGATCAGCATTACAATGTCTTCCAGCCAGATGTATTTCATCTTCCATTCCAATTGATCAGATAAAAAACATTTTTACCTCACACACATTTAAGAATTAAGACACACGTGCATTACTCAGGCCAAATGTATGATCGCTCAATAGCATCCATCCTTGGTAGAAGATTATAGAAAGATTCTAACTTGCAATGTGAAAGGAGTAATCTGTCAGCATGTCTACTTCTACCTTTTCACAATCAAGTATATATGGGTATAAATATTTAAATGTATTAGGTATACTCGTCTACAGATCACCAAGTGCCTAACAGGAATTATATGTAACAAATGGAACAAATTCTAATAAGAATAAAAGATCTACGCTCACTGCAGCATGATGAGCAAAATGTCAATGTAAATTAGCAAACTTTTTTTTGGTTCAATGTGTACATTAGCAAACTTCAATGCCACATAAATTGATTTACGCAAGAAGAGACATCACATGTTCCACAAACTAGCCACTAACCTCATTTATCCACATGCCAACTTTTCCAAGTGGTTTAGATAGACTGAAGAATATCCCTTGCAGAAGTTTCGATTGCAAGTAATCAAGTTTTTCAACAAGCAGTAAACCCTTCTGCTTCTCAGTAGTATATCCCCGCCTGAATTAAAACAGTAAATAATAACTCATAATTATTATAAGTGCACATTGAAATCAAAACCAAGAAATTAATAATTAGCATCTCTTATTGATAGGATCCCCTGTTCTTCCACCCTATCCATCTTGGTGTCCTTCCATTCACGAAGAGACACCAATCTTGTTAATTGTTCATTTTTTTATGAATAACAGAAACTGATTCATTAAAATTAAAGAAAGATGTACAAAGAGGATAGAGGGAGAGATAAGCATTCTTAACTCTCCCTCATCCAGGAAACATGATTACAGGATTACAAAACAGCCCAAAACAAATGATCCCTTCTGACCCCCTGTTTTGCTAAAGTATCAGCAAAGGAGTTAGCATTCCTTTTCACCCTTGTACATTAATTTACATTCCTTGCGAAAGCCACTTGCTCGTTTTCTCATCAATATAGTTCCACCACCCAGCCTCCTCTTCCTTTTGCAACCACTCAATAACTAACTTCGATTCCCCCTCAATTAGAAGCTTATGAATGTGCAGCTCTTTAGCCCTTCGGAGACCTTCCAACACAGCCATTATTTCAGCCCTCAGAAAATCTCCCACACCAATCGGACCCGAGTAAATGGCTATAATTCTTGCTTCCTCATTTCTAACAACTCCCCCTATGCCAGAAGGACCGGGATTTCCTTCACTACTCCCATCAAAATTCAGATTAATAAAACCATGTGAAGGTGGGGACCAACTTGGACTTAAGCCAACCTTGAGAGGAGCGGAGTCAGCAACACACAACCAACATTGGACTTGACCCTAATTGTAATGGCGACAATTAGAGCAGCTCTACTTCTTTCCTTATCAAGAAAGATACTCTGATTCCTTTCTTCCAAGCTGTCCAAGAAATCACTGCAGCAAGAATTTGAGATTAAGGATCTAGGTGAATTGAGGTTGCAAGTCATCAAGACATTTTTTGAGGATTGAGGTTGCAAGATCCAAGCATAGGATATTCATCTCTCAAAGTAAGTATGTATTAGACCTACTACAAGAAATTGGGAAGTAGGAGTTAAACTAGGTAATACTCCTATTGATCTGAACCACTGAATTAATGCTTTGGATGGTGAGTTAGTTAAGGATGTGGGGAGATATCAGTGGATGGTAGGCCGACTGCTATATTTGTGCATGACACGCCTAGACATTTCTTATGTTGTGAGTGTTGTTGGTCAATATATGCATGTTCCTCGGGTTCAGCACTGGGAAGCTATTGATCAAATCCTTGCATACCTAAATAAACATCCTGGCAGAGGAAATTTATTCACAGATTATGGGAATTTGAAACTGGAATCCTATACAGATGCAGATGGGCAGGTTGTTTAGATGACAGGAGATCCACATCAGGAGTATATACCTTTGTGGGGGGAAATCTAGTTTCATGGAAGAGTAAAAAACAGTCAGTGATGGCAAGGTCAAGTGTCGAAGCCGAATATAAATCTATAGCCCATGGTGTTTCAGAATTATTTTGAGTTTCCTTGCTGCATGAGATTGGGATAGATGTAGAGGAGCCGATGATATTATACTGTGACAACCAAATTGCAATCAATATTGCTCACAATCCAGTTCAACATGACAGTACAAAGCATCTCTTCTGAATTACAGTTGGTTGATGTCTTCACCAAAGCAGTTGCAAGAAATAAGCTTGGAACATAACCTACGCAAGTTAGAAATGTATGACATTTACTCCCAACTTGAGGAGGGTATTAGAGGATCTTTTACATTTTATTAGTTGATTTTGTTTATTATTTGTTTAGTTAGGGAGTGGGGACCACAGCCTACTTGTTGGGGTCCTTTGGAGAAGTGTTTTTGAGTTTTTTGTATCAGCCGCCCTATAAGGGCATATCAGTCATTGTATCTATTTTTACTTAAAGTATAAATACAAATGAGAGCGAGCGACCAGATCTGATTGCTCTCTTTCTTGCTCAACCTCTTCTCTTCTTCTTCTCTTCTCTCACAAAAAAAACACTTCTTTTCTTCTTTCTTTTACAGATTTTTGTTTCAATAGATTTCTACTATGTGAAGATTTGAACCCAAGTACTCATGGTTACAAAGACCATGGTCTCAGTTGGCCATTGAGTCATATTTAAAATTTTAAATGTGCATAATAAGAAATGTAAAAGGTAATACTTACAAAATTTAAATCATAATGACAAGTTTTGAACTATATACTAATACATTATGATAATCTACAGATTTAATTACTCAATTTAATCAATAAAGATAATGTAGTTCTGAACTATAAATTGTCATTATTTTTTTATCAATAACAGAGGCATTTCATTAAATGGATAGAAACAAAAGATTATAAGAAAAAGAAAAAGGAGAGAGAAACTATCTTAACTCTCCCAAAACAGAAAAATTTTAAAATATTGCTCCAAAAACTGATTTCTTCCTGTTATAATTCAGGTCTGCCTTAGAGTTCGGCATGACTGAGTTCAGTTATGTAGAAGAAGAAAAAGTGATAAAGAAAGAGAGAAAGAGAGAAAGAGAGAATTCTGGTTCGAACTGAAAGAGTCAACTTGACTTCTCCCAGTCGGCCAGTAAGTATTTATATTATTATTAAAACATAACTGAAAAGACCT